CGTTGAATTATAGAAATTTTGTGTGATCTCACTGATTAAGGTGAATGAAAATTTTTTAATTCATAATAGTTAAATCCGATGTTTCAAGTCCATTCACTGAACTGAGCCTTACCATGTAAACTCTTGGGTTAATGGGCAACTCAACTTTTGCTCCATAAAATTTACTCGTTTGAGCGAACGTTCAGAGAGTATGCAGATTATTTTGACCTTGGATTACCAAACACATGCTATTTATTTCGCTTGGAAATCATCGATTAGTTTCGCACATGGATGTAGAACTTGCGAGTAAATAGCTGAATAAGCAAGAAGGTGCCCGATGTTTTAGGAGCGTCTGGACCCGACTATGACTCACAAGTTTCCGGAAGGAAAATAAACAATGATTCTTCACGCTAGCTTGATATGTAGAAATATGGCTCGTAGGGTCAAATTTGCGATATCCTGCCGACGGACAAACAATATCTCAATTCCTAATATACGGATAACGCTCAAACATAACTCTACCGTTATCCTCACATGAGGTATGTGCGAATATATCCGTAAGTTTGATGATATCAAGTTAATAAGCATCACGTTTTTTAGCGAAACCTCGCTAACTACTGCACCCAAATATTTTTTTCAGATAATTAATAAATAAAAGTATAATTGTGTAAGATAATCACAATACAATTTGAAGAGTTTGGATGCTTAACAACTGCGCATTTGATACCATCTGCAAGAACAAATCCACATTCAATAAGCCTTTATAAACTCCACCAAATTATCCAAGAGTTTACCACGGATAAATGCTGCCAATTTATCCTCATGAGCACAGCTGGACACATATAAAAACATTTTCTTTATCTAGTTATCAGAAAACCAACACCATACCGTTATTCTTCAATCACCAACAACATATTTAAACTAAGTGATGCAAATTCACGGGTGCTCGCTAAACCGAGTAATAACATGGATAATATCCTTCTGTTTATCCGCCAGGTGTTCTGATTATTCAAAAATACTCATCTCGAGGAAACAAAATAATTCAGCTTTTATCCAGGCAATTTTCTGCAAGATATATATATATATATGTATCAGCCTGCAACCTGGACTGCATTATTTGATACAAGAGGCGTCGAAGGAAGATTGCACGCCAGTTAGATCGCTTCCGCTTGCTTCATGTTCAATCTAAAATCGGTGCCGCTGACCGGCCTACGAAACATTTTCTTCATGTCACTGTCTACGGAACCGGCAGGGATAAACCAACCCTAAAGTGTGCGAAACCACCAAATATAATTTTATTCGCACTCACGCTCCAAATAGCATGTATTAGCGCCAGCCATTTCCGTAAAATCCTGAATTCGGATGAGTTAAGCTATAGAACTTCCTGAAGAGCATATTCTAGGTAAACTACTTTCGCATAGATAATTAAACATTCATTCGAAGTACTGAGGAACAGAACACATATGGTTTGTTGTTTTTCCGAAGTAAAACAAAATGTTGTCTTAGGTAACATTTCAAAAGAATCTTTTTCAGTGGACAAGGCTGAGACCCTCCTAAATCACTCACGTCTTATCAATATGAACTGCTAAATGTAAAAGCATCGATTTTTATACACCATAAATGTTTAGCTATCGGGCAAAGTTTGGTTCCTGAATATTCTTATAGTGGTGACCTTATCTGTCTGAAGTTGCTTGAAGGATCTGCTTCGCTGAACTGTGGGAAATGCTTGGACAGTAGAATGTCAAACCACTATTAACTTGAAGGCACCAACGACTAACCCGCACACATCATACATATTGCCATGATGTAGTCCATACGCAGAACAACAAACCAAATAGATGCCTGACGCTAGGCAGCTGCAATAACCTGTTTTCATGAAGATCTATTTTAAAGCAACGCGATGCGTTTGGTGGCTGTTGTGACCTCACTGAGCAAGAACAAAACAGGTTCAGTGCCCAACCATTACCTGTCTTCATCAGAGATTTGTTTAGGACAACGCATATCATCTAAATCCGTGGTGTACTCCGTATGTCAACGGAGGTTTCCTCGACAGCGTTACTGTTCCATTATGTCAACCGACATAATATTTCGGTATTTATACTAAATAACACATAAATGGAATAAATCATATTGTTCACTTTTTGTTTAAAACAAAGCTGAGAATGTGTTATTATTTGTTCTAATATTCATTACCTAAAAACTATCGGGATATTCGTTCGGGAATACTACTTCCTTTTACACATATCCCAAAGAACAAAGTTAAACTGGTTTTGCAAAAATGTTTGAAACGTAAGGTTTAGCGTTACAATTCTTTTCTTTTAAAATGCCCAAAATACACAAACTCAATTGAAAGCAAGTTCGGCGGAAATTAGCCACATTAAATTTGGTGTAACTTTTTGTTAGGAGAGGTTTGCAATCAGTATTACAGATAGTCATCATGGCTTCCACACATTCACCATATAACGCTATCAAGCAAGCCAGTTACCGTTTGTACATAAATACGTAAATACTAATGTTACACGCTGGGCGATAAACCAAAATACCAATACCTTTAAAGACCTACTTGGAAAGCAGGTGCCACAATTTAAAATCGCACGGATTTTCACTGGAACTGTTTCGGTATTCGCGTCCAGGTAATTTGGAATTTTTCTGAAAGTTCAACAAAACTTGTAACCAGGCACCAAAGGGAAGGTTTTATCGCATCCATGCGCGAAACTTGTTCATCATAGTTTTTAAAAGACGGCATCTGTTTTTCGCCTGTTAGCCACGTTGCAACGTCTCCCGTATAGCAATTGATATTTGTATTCAACATCAGGTTATCAATCAGATTAACTTGGTCGTGCCTTCTCAATCTAGTCACTTCCTCGTATTACGTTCACTGCAATGCAGACGCGTAAGAGCTCCACTACATGCTTTCATGTGCACAGAGTGTTCTTTGGGTGCCTCGAGTTCATGAGGTTCAGCGCGTGTCAAATGAAATCCATCTTACGTCAAGAGCATGGTATTCCACTGCTTTGACACTTAAGTTGCACTAAACTTCCCTCCATAAAGGTCGTTCAAGGCGCAATTCCTGAGAGGAAAAGGGAAAAACCTCGAGATTACGTCCTTCGTTATCAAACAATCTATTAGGCAGGAATGTAAATCCCTCATATGCACATAATTTATAAAACCTAGGCATTCTCTACTTCTTCGTGAACATTTATGAATATTCACCGGATGTTTAAAAAATTGTAAACGAACAAGGCTATCCAGTTTCAACAGTTTTTTAATGAAAATCACCTTTCAAAAGTGGCGCGGCGGTGTTTGGACATCACCACAGATGGGTCACATTCTTTGGGTATACTGTAGGCCGTTACAGATTTTTCCACTATCAGGGTCGCATGCATGCATGGTTGTTTTGGGCCGTCCCCAGTAGCAAGCATATTGGACCCCACTGTAGGTGCAACCCAACACTTCCGAAGATGAGTACCGTTTACTTATTTCGATTCTTGTCGGTCCTGAATTGAAGACTCTCCTTGGACGGTCGATAATCTCAAACGAGCCTTGCCGCTGCTCAGCTTCTGAGATCCAAGTCAAATCAGTTTGGGATTCTTGTGATCCATCCGTTGGACCTTCCGTCCTATGGGTAATGGTCGTGTCTTTCTACTTGCCGTTTTATGTCCAGTCCATTACTGAATGACGGCGCAGCTTTTTCTATCTTCCCTCATTTCCTTCCTTAGCTCTTCCAGAAGCAAGTTTGTGGTCTTCTACAACCCAATTTCCTGATCAACTGAAATAGGCGGATTTTGATCATAAATTACTATGAGCCGGACTCTCATGTAAGTTGGCTGTATTGTTGCATGATGCGTTAACAAAAGCACTGGCATTTTAACTTCCCAGTCGTCTCAAGTGGGCAGCATCCACCCCTTGATGGATTAGATTAGATTAGATGGGCCTATTTATGCCGCTGGAGTTTTGCCGACTTTGATCGGCTGGTGCAAAGCTGCTGAGAGATCTCTTTATTTTCTCGCGCTCAAAGCAAATTTCTTAATTCGCACCCCGGGTTTGACGAGTGTGTTGTGTATTACCACTCCACTGCTTGTCGTCACCTATTAATTTGGTTAAGCTGCCTTTTCAAACAAACAGTCCTGGTGATTTGTAGTAATTACGCTGTACTGATTTCCACTGATTTCTGGGATAGAAATGGGTTACATGAAGTAACTCTCCCTGTCGCATCCACATCTATCCGTTGGCAGCGCTTGCAGGGCACCTCATGATAAAATACCTTACTTGTGGTTTGAGGGAATAATTTTTATGTCTTAGTACGCCCTGTGTGTGCAGTCGCTTTGCATTCGGTGATACGCTTCCACCTCAAGAGGGGACAGCACAAGCAGCAGCTTATCGCAGCGTTTCAGGGAGATTATGCAAGCTTCATTCAGTCTTGGCCTATCGAATGGAATTTGGGACGTCACCAGTTTTTTTGTCCCGACCCTAGTTCTCAACACTATCTCCATGGTAAAAGGTGGCTGTAACCTTTCGTAATACAGAATCATTCTATCAAACTACAGGCATTTTGGCCCAAATCATAATCGTGTAGGCCTCGTATTCAACCTCTCTTCATGAAAGCTCAACAGTCGGGTGGTTGTTCTGTTTTGGCGCGTGCTGGATCGTGAAGTCAATCTCAGGCAACCGGATAGCACGCCGCGTGATATTTCCGCGCAGACACCTGGTTGTTCTCATTCACTCAAAGGGTTTGTGATTAGTCTCCACATCAAACCTTTGTCCCAGCAAGTTTGGCCTCCACTTATAAAAGGCCCAGCCGATCGCTGAATAATCTTCCTTATTAGTTGAGTAATTCTGCACCACGTTAGTCAGGGCACGATTGGCATATTCGATGCCCCAAGCCACCTGCTCTGGAAAAACACCAATAACACGGTCAGTGGCCTCCGTTGCGTCAGTAAACACCCATCCAAAACCAGACAGCTTCGGTGTCAGATGTCAATCCAGCAACCCGGTTTTTTATTTTTGAATGCCTTGTCTGATCACTCTGTACATATCAACTTCCATAGTTGAACGAGCACGTCATACACATGAGTAGCAACTGTGTTGAAATACTTCGCCAAACGGCTGCAATATTCTGCTTCTCGGGCAAACCGCAGCAGGGATCGCTTCGAACTGTGCACTGCACGGAATATATATATATATATATATATATATATATATATATATATTTATCGCTTTTTT